CTCGTCAACAACTCATCCCTGTCGCGCCTCCAGGCGCGCGCAGAGGGGGGTAGGGTTGAGGGGGGAAGGCTTCCTAGAGGGAGGCTGCTTCTTGGAGGGCGCGGGCCTTGCATCTGCAGACGAGGCCCGCGCCTTCGAAGAAGCAGGGGTGCTTCTAAGAAGGCTTCCGCCCTGCCCCGACCCCCCTCTGCGCGTGGCCGACCCTTTCCTCATAAGCATCCCCTCCCTGCCGTGCCCCAGGACGTGTCGGCAGGGCGGGCCGAACGTTTCGCCTGAAATTCTTTCGCCGTTATGACCATGACGATGAAAACAATGGCAGCGATTTCACGGATGAAGGGCGGCCCTTTTTCAAATTGTGGCTCTCGCCTGAGCGTTTCGCACATTCGTCCCACAATGTTGCAACACTTTAGCGGAGAGGAGGGCGGGCCGCTTTTAAAATGTGGCTCTCGCCTGGACGCCGCGCACATTCGTCTAACAAACTTGCAACACCTTAGCGGAAAGAGGGCGCGTCTCCGAGCCCTAACCCGTGGGTCCCTCCGCGCTAGCGGTTGGAAGCGAGCCCATGCTGGCCTCAGCATCAGGTCGCGGGTGAGGCGCCTGTAGCGGCTGTCATGGCAGGCCTTACTCACGAGATCGTAGAGGAGTGCAATGGAAAAAAAAGGCCTCAACGGGCAGGGGAGGGGGCGCCAGACACATGATCTAGAAACGCCGTCACCAAGAACGAAGCCACGGGGGAGGTGGGAAACAAAACAAACGATCGCGATCTCACAAAGTATCGGGCGTTCGATAATATGCCGAATGTGGCCGCCCCTAGGTGTCCGACAAGCTCTGCGCGGGCTTGCGGTCTCACATCGCCCAGAAGGGTATCACGAATTCGTGAGATTCCGCAGGACAGAGGAGACAGAACAACTGTCCGACAAGCTCTGCACGCGCTTGCGGCCTCCAACCGCCCACGAGGACATCACAAGCTTGTGAGATTCCGCAGGACAGAGGAGAGAGAGCAGGGCACGAGCCGGCAGAGGACGGCACCGGCGAGGGCCTCTTCGTCGGCCGTGAGCGGCACGCCTCCGCGGAGGCGCTGGACCCGGCTCCCGACAGCATCCCCGCACGGGTCGGGGGCAGGAGGCGCGAGGTGCAGTTCCGCTCCGTGTTGCAGGCGGCGGTTCTCGGAGCGGAGCGTGGGCAGGGCGACGAGGCTCGTGCAAGTGTCGGCCATGCCTCGGAGAAGGGGCGGCCTCCCGAGGGGGATGGCTCCTCCACGCCACCGCGCATCCCGATGATCGTCGAACTCAGCACACGGGAGCCATCTTATCCTGGAGCGCTTCGGAAAGGTTGGCGGCCCTAAACGTGGCGGCCCCGCCTCGGTGCTCAAGAAACCGTGCCGGGACATGACAGTCAAGGGAGCGCAGGGAACAGGGACAGGGAGAAAGGCATGGCGTTCCGCGGTGCGCACACGGCACGATGCAGCGTCTCGAGCTCAATGCGCAGCACCGTTGCAGCAATGGGGCAGAACTGGGACACAGACGCAAACACTGCGGGTCTTCTGCGGCCCTAGGCCAAGCGCGCGCGGGCGTGATACTTGGCCAGAGGGGCGCGCCCAAACAAATTCAAACCGACACCCGTGCCCGAAAGCTGCTCCAAGGTACATAATCAGCTCGACCACAAGAAACCTCCACAAGAAACCCAACCGTGAGACCCCAGGACGCTCACTGACATCGCAAAACCATCGAAACCCAAGAAACCCAGGGCACTCTGTATGCAAGCAGGGTGTTCCTTGGCACGGGCGTCCACTGTACTGGCGATGGAAAGACATCACAAAGGCCAAGTCGGAGTGCCCGTGCCTCGCCATCTCTCGGAGAGGAGGGCTTCGGCGGAGAACTCGCCGAGAAGAGCTGCAACGGTCTTCCCTTCGTTGAGGGCGAGGCCGAGCCCAGAGTCAGGCAAGGCCCAGCTGTCCAAGAGCCTGGCCAGGCTCGCCACGAGATCCCCTCAGGGTCGTAGTCGTCCTCCTCCTCCTCCTCTTCCTCGTCATCGTCCTCCTCCTCCTTCTCCCCTTCTCCTCCTCCTCCTCCTCCTCCTGCTCATCCCCCTCCTCCTCCTCCTCCTCCTCCTCCTCCTCGTCCTCCTCCTCCCCCTTCTCCTCCTCCTAGGTCGCCGCCGCCGCGGTCGTCGTCGCAGACGCAGTCGCCGTTGCCGTCGCCGCCGCCGCGGTCCTCGGTCGCCGTCGCCGCGGTCGTCGCCGCCTGCGCCGTCGAAACGCCGGCGTCGTCGTCGCCGTTGCGGTCCTCGGGCCGCGCGGGGCCTCGCGCCCTGGTGCCGCGCGCCCCTAAGACGTAACGCAGGATGACGATTAATAAAAAAGGGGAGAGAACGATTAAAAAATAGTTTTCTGCTATTTCTGCACAGTTTTCTGACTGGAGGAAAACGATTAAAAATAATAGTTTTCCAGCCCGCGGCCGGTTTTTTCTGATCGTCATCTGGGGCGCCGCCGCGTGAACACGACCCCCGGTCATTTATCGTCATCCTCCATTGCAGTCGGACCCAGGCCAAAAGAACACTCCTCAAGAACATAAGGCTGAGAGGGGGAAGAGGGACCCATACCGCTGACTTTCCTTTGTTTCCCCCTTTTTGGGCCTCCTGGGAGGCCCTCGTCGCCACCTCTGGATTCGCCTCGAAACCCTGGTCAGAACGCACCCAAGGAGAGGTCCGGGGAGTAGCGGTATCGGTAGCTTTCAGTTTCCCCAGGGACTCTCCGTCGGCCAGATCAGACAAAACATCCACAGGTACCCTCCCCAGGATACACAAAAACATCAAAAAACCTCGAAGAGCACCAAAGTACCCTCCCGGAACCGACCTCGAACTGATACCTCGGTCCGGCTGTATGGCATCTAGGACGAAGAAGCGTTGAACAATCCCAAGCTCAACCTCACTGTACTTGATTTCGTGATGGTCGACCCCTAACCGAACAAACGGGACTGCCCATGTTGGACATACAATCAACTCGTACAACAAGGACGCACGCGAAGGATGCAAGGGCCTTGGAAGGCCATGCCGACACATTGCGAGCGGGACGCGGCCAGCGAAAATGGCCAAGGATGGGCCGAGGGGGGAAAGCTGCAAAGGCAACCTTGGAAAGTTGCTCATCCTTACAATACAGGTTGACTGTACATTGTCAACTCTCGGTCGCTATATGTTAAGTATGAACCAAGTCTACATCGCAGAGCGGGGGGTGCTGGGAAGGGGCTTGCCCCGATTTGTGGCCGCGGCGATCGCCGCCATAACCTCCCAAACCGATCTGGAGGTTTGGTCCGGGCTCGGGTATCACGCAGAGGGCCCTCTTCCATCCTGGAGGAACAAGAAGCACAAGCATACACTGTTGGCGGTCTGTTTCGCCCCATGAGATCCAGGCAGAACTCCGCAAATTGGTGTTTATGTTTTGTTTTTCTTCGGTGTCCGTATGACCCCAGCTTTCCGGGCCCGAGCCCTGCTCGGCGAGCCTTGCCCGTTACGCCATCTCATCTCCCGCGCCGCCTCCAAGAAGGTGCACCGTGCCGTTGCAGCGCGGTGCTCACGCTGTTGGGGTCTGAGCCTGGGAGGGACTACTGTAGAAAAACCGACCTCTCAGGGCCCCACCCCTGGCCATCGCTCGGACGTCCATTCCCTGTTTTTTTTCGGTTTCGTGCGTGGCTTTTTCGCCAAACGATCAAGGATGCTCCTCGATGGTCCCCGCCGAAGGAAAAATCCGCACGTCCGAGCGATGCCAAGACTCGGGCGACGGAGAAAAACGGGCCTTCCGCGCGATGGGATGGCGACCTCACGCGGTGGCTCGTGCGGGCCGCCCGCGCGGCGCGCCACGCTGGAAACGAGGGCGCTCACGCACGACCTTGCGCGGGCAGCGTGCTCGAGGGGACATCCGCGAAGACGATCCAGGCTGTATGTGTTTCTGTTGGTCGCTCACCTTGGAACCGCCGAGGGTGGGGGCTAGATGCCTCCGAGGTGGGGTTGCAGTAGATGTGGTGGGGGGATCGCGCCGCACCGTCGATACATCGGCGATGCATCGGCGATACTTTGGCGACGCACCGGCGATGCGGCGCGATCCTCCGACCCCATCTGCTCCGACCCCATCTGCTCCGACCCTATCTGGGCGGCCTAGAGCCGCTCACCTTGGAACCACCGAGGAGGAGGGGAGGAGGAGGAGGCGGAGGAGGAGGAGGACCAGTGTAAAACCAAGAGTCATCACCGATGCTGGAATTAACCCTCCCTTCAAGCTCCGTCTTCATAGGCCCCCACAACGGTTCATTCCCTTTGAGGGAACTGCCTCGTTAGAAGACAACCGTTTGAAGATCCTGAAGCATGCCAAAGCATGGTTCTCGGACTTTCAGCGCCATGTATCAACCTGGCTGCTGCGTCTTGACGATCCGGAGTCGTGCCATGTCGACATTTTTGGGATGACGAAACAGCGAACCAAAATAATTGTTGCACCCGCATGCTCCTGAATCCTTCCGAAACAATATTTCTAGTACGCTGATCATTGGAATCCGTGAGCCTCTTGCAAAATGTTACGAATGTGCGCGGCACAAGGCGAGAACCACATGCTGAAAAGGAACCGCCCTCAATCCGTGAAGCTCTTGCAAATGTTTAAAAAGACGGTGCGCGGCGCTAAGGCGAGAACCTCATTTTGAAAACGGCCCGCCCTCAACCCGTGTAGCTCTTGCAAATGTTTAAAACGAATGTGCGCGGCGCTAAGGCGAGAACCACATTTTGAAAACCGCCCGCCCTCAATCCGTGAAACTCTTGCAAATGTTCAAAGCGAATGTGCGCGGCGCTAAAGCGATAGCCATATCAATGGTGCCAAAGTCTCAGGCGAAACGCCCAGCCCGCCAAAAAAAATGGCCTCGGGGTGCGCAGGGAGGAGTTATCTATAAGGAGAAGAAGAACTGGACGAGGAGGAGGAGGAGGAGGAGCAGCGCGAGGAGGAAGAGGAGGGGGTGGGGGCGCGCCTGGCAGCCGTCGACGTACACGTTGCCAGCCTGGCTGCGACGCGGCGGCCGATCGGGAGTGGGGGCGGCCGTCGGCTCCCTCTTCTCTTCTTCCTCCTCCTCCTCCTTCTCTTCTTCTTTTTCTTCTTCCTCCTCCTCCTCCTCCTCCTCCTCCACCCCCTCCTCCTGCTCCTCCTCCTCCTCCTCCTCTTTCTCTTTCTCTTTCTCTTTCTCTTCCTCTTTCTCCTCCTCCTCCTCCTCCTCCTCCTCCTCCTCCTCCAGGACACGCGGCCTGGCTGCGCCGCGGCGGCCGCTTGGGAGAGGGGGCGGCGGCCCCCCCGCGCGGGGGTGCGAGGGCGGCGGGGGGCCGCCGGCGAGGGCCGCCCACGGCGGGGGCCGGCGGCGGCGAGGGGGGAGGGCGGCCCGGGAGGAGGGAAAAGGAGGGGGAGAAGGAGGAGGAGGAGGAGAGGGAGGGAGGAGGAGGAGAGGGAGGAGAGGAGGAGAGGGAGGGGAGGAGGAGAGGAGGAGGAGGAGCAGGAGGAGGAGGAGGAGGAGGGAGGAGGAGGAGGGGGAGAGAAGGAGGGGAGAGAGGAGTGGAGGAGGATGAGGAGGAGGAGGAGGAGGGGGGGCCCCAGACATGATCGCCTCCCCCTCCTCCTCTCCCCCCTCCTCCTCCTCATCATCATCATTCCCCTCCTCCACCTCCTCCTCCTCCTCCTCCTCCTCCTCTCCTCCTCCTCTTCCTCCTCTCCCCCTCTTCCTTCTCCTCCTCCCCCTCCTCCTCCTCCTGAGCCTCCCCCTTCTGCTTCTCCCCCCTCCTCCTCCCCCTCCTCTCGTCATCCTCCTCCCACTCCTCATCCTCCTCCTCCTCCTCTCCTCCTCGGCGGTTCCAAGATGAGCGAGTCTAGGCCGCCCAGATGGGGTTCCAAGTAGATGGGGTCGGAGGATTGCACCAGATCGCCGACACATCGCCGATGCATCGGCGACGCATCGACGTTTCGCAAAGGCGACGTCGGCGATGCATCAGCGACATCGGCGTGACGACTCGGGCTCCGCATCGAGCCGCATCGCCGATGCGTCGGCGATGCGGCGAGATTCTCCGACCCCGTCTGCTCCTGCCCCGTCTAGAAGGCCTAGACATGATCGCATCGTTAAACAAGTCAGGGCGGGAAAGGAGGAGGAGGAGGAGGAGGAGGAGGAGGAGGAGGAGGAGGAGGGGACGAAGGAGGAGGAGGAGGTGGAGGAGGAGGAGGGGACGAAGGAGAGGAGGAGGACGATGAGGGGGATGGAGGAGGAGGAGGAGGAGGAGGAACGGCCTCGGGGGGCGGCCCTCGCCGGGCCTCAGGACCGTCAAGAAACGACGCAGGTTGAAAAACTGGTCCCGGAGAAAGAGTTGGGACTTCCAGGGACCCCGTGTTGAAAAAATCAAGACTTCGCATGTCTGGGGATGGAGGGGGGAGGCTTGGGGAGGAGGGAGAGGAGGAGGGGGGACGGAGGAAGAGAAGCAGGAGGAGTAACAGTGCAACCCAGGACTCATCAACGATGTCGCGATCGACCATCCCTCCAGATTCTTTCCTCATGGGTCTTCACGACAATTTGACAATTTACTATCACTGCGGGAAGTGCCCCGTTGGAAGCCGAACGTCTGATAATCTTCAACCGTGCCAAAGCACCATTGCTAGGACTTCAACGCCTCGAATTAATGTTACTTGTTGCGTCCTGGCGATCCTGAATCGTGCCAGAGTGCCATTTCCGGGACTTCAACACCGCGGATCAACGTCACTGTCGCGCCTTGACAACCATACATCGCTCCACAAGACCATGTCTGAGACGCCGACCATAAGAATACTCGAAACGATTATAAACTATTACAACGAGTACACGCGACGCTAAGGCGAAGGCCACATTCTGAAAACGAACCGCCCTCCATCTGTGAACCTCTTGCATATTTTGAAACGAATGTGCGCGGCACTAGGGCGAGGGACCCATATTGAAAACGACCTGGCGGGCCTAGTAAATCTCTTGCACACTTTTAAGACGAATGTGCGGGGCGCTAAAGGAAGAACCACATTTGGAAAACGGCCGGCCCTCCATCCGTGAACCTCTTGCGAACTTTAAAGACGAATGCGCGCGGCGCCTAGGCGAGAACCGCATTTTGAAAACAGCCTGCCCTCCGTCCGTGACTCTGCTGCAACTCTGAAGCTTCAGAATCGTACATGGTGAAGAAAAGAAGTCTCGAGCGAAACGCCCCGCCCGCCCTATCGACCCGTCACGGGGTGCGACAGGGAGGAGTGTCTTGTAAGGAAGAGGCATTGAGGATGAGGAGGATGGCTAGGAGGCGGAGGAGGAGGAGAAGGAGCCTCGACCCTCGATCCTCGATCCTCGACCCTCGACCCTCGACCCTCGGTCCTCGATCCTCCACCCTCGACCTTCGATCTGCGACCCTCGATCCTCGACCCTCGACCCTCGATCCTCGACCCTCGACCCTCGACCCTCGATCCTCGACCCTCGATCCTCGATCCTCCACCCTCGACCTTCGATCTGCGACCCTCGATCCTCGACCCTTTCTCAACCTTCGACCCTCGACTCTCGATCCTCGATCTTCGAACCTTCGATCTTCGACCCTCGGACCTCGACCCTCGACCCTCGAAGCTCGATCCTCGAGGGGCACCGGCATCGGACTGCTCTCCTCTCCCCGGGCAGGGGCGCGTCGGCGTGGCGGAAGCGCCTTGAGCTCCTGGTAGGCGCGGTCCGCCGCCTGCTGGCTGCCAAAGCCGATGTTCACGTAGTCTTCGCCCTGCCCCCCCCCCCCACCCTCCAATGGGCAAACGTAAGGCACCCAAGGTTCGTATCGTGCCGACTTCGGCGTTGGTTCCTGACACCGCCTGGTTCCGAGGCTTTGCCTCCTCCCGGCCTCGTTCTGAGGCTGCGCCCCCCTTCTCCTCCCGCTTCTCTGTGTAATTCAAGCTCTGCGCGGCCCGCTTAGCTTCGACCGGAAGAAATGCGCTCTCGACCCGCGAATCAAAAAAACCTTCGGCGTTGGTTCCTGACACCGCGGGGATCGTTCAACCCAGAACGATCGGCCGCTTCCGCAACGACAGATCGCTCAGCATCGGGGCCGATTCTGGCTGGCCGGCGGCGTCCAACATTGAAGGCTGGCGGCGGGGCCTCCGCCCGTCGACACGACGCGAAACTACCGTACTCATGCATGCCGCTGCTCCCTGGACCTCTCCCGGGTGGCGCTCTGCCTTGCCAGAACTCCGAAGAGAATCCGGCCGTGGCAACCGGAGCTCCGTGTCGGAACCTTTCCCCCTCGGGTCCCAAACATCCAGGGTACTGAAACCAACTCCCTTCGCTCCGTGAAGTAGAATTCACCCTGGGGAGGGTCTAGCGAACCTTCTGCCTTTGGCGGAGGGGCCCTCCCCGAGCCCCAGGACCGTCAACAAACCTACTCAGGACAAAAAACCCTCCTCCTCCTCCTCCTCCTCCTCCTCCTCCTCCTCCTCCTCCTCCTCCTCTTCCCCCTCCTCCTCGACCCGGGGAATGGGTCGAGGGCTCCAACCGTCCCTCTCAGGCAGCCAACGTGCTGATCCAATCAGGACGAACATCTTTCGCTGCTTTCGGCCTCGTGGGGCCCTCGCGGCTGTCGCTGCCCCAAGAGTGACCCCAGGCAAGAGTGACCTTTCGTGCGCGGCAAAGGGTGGGCCCTTTGGGAACACCACCGGGCACACCAGCCGCTGATATCGATCGCATCGCATTCAACGATCGTGGGGCCCCTTTTGGGCCCGCACCAAAGGTCACCCCGGCGAAAGAACACTCTCACGTGTAGCCGACCGCTCCCCTCGTCATCGCCTTTTGCCGGCCTTCCGCGGGTTTGTCGTCGCCACGGCTGGACTCGCCACCTGACATCCAGCGTAGAGAAAGCATCGAAACGCTTTGTTCCCAACCCTCCCTTGGTTGGGCTCTCGTCTTGGCTTGAGCAATGGGGTGCCAACGCCCTCCTCCGTCCGCCCTCCTCCCCCCTCTCGCCTGCCTGCGCCTGCCTGCTTGCATACCTCCTGCCTCGCTGTCCTGCCTGGGGGCGCGCTGGGGGGCTGCGAAATTCGAAAAAGTCGCCACTTTCAAGAGCTTCTGGGGGGGGGGGCAGCACAATGGCATCCCACGCAAATCCCCCCAAAACAACTCGCCATATCTGGGGGGCTGCGAAGTGCGAACTGTCGCCACTTTCGAGGGCTGCTGCGGGAGCCATCGCAGTGGGGCCCCACGCAGATCCAAAGAAGACCTTGCCATCCTTGGGGGGCTGCGAAGTGAGAAGCTGTCGCCAATTTCGAAGGCTGCTGGTGGAGCAAGCACAGTACAGTGGTGTGCCACGCAGATCCCAAAAAGACCTCGCCATCCCTGGGGGGGCTGCGAAGTGCGAAACTGAGGCCACAGTGGCCTCAGCTTCGCGCTTCGAAAGTGGCCTGGCCACTTTCGAAGGGTGCCGGGTGGGGGAGCCAGCACAGCGGGGTCCCACGCAGATCCAAAAAAGACCTCCCCACACCTGGGGGTGGGCTGCGACGTGCGGGGCCGTCGCCACTTTCGAGGACTGCTGGGGGAGCGAGCACAATGGTGTCCACACGCGTGTCAACACTGGGGACCAAACAAGCAACGGCATCGCTCCTGCTTTCCTCGCCACGCTGAGGTGAGGCGCCTGGACTACGTCGGAGCTCCCGGGGGACCTGGCGTCGACGGTGGGGGGAGCGAAGCACCCGTGCGAGCGGAACATCCGACTCGGGGGAGCTGGCCCGAGGGCGCTCCACGGCGCCATCGGCAGCTGGAGCCGAAGCCGAAGCCGAAGTGCACAGGGGAAACTCAAGGGGCTCTGGGACACACAAATTCGCCGGCCCAACGGGCCAGGGCGTGCTAAGATCTCCGGTACCTGGTTAACAGTATTTCTAGTTCGCGCGCGCGGGGCGGCCCCTGGGGGTCCCCGGACGAAGAGTACCCCGGCAAGGTCCCGGCAAGTCCCCGGCAAGGTCCCGGCAAGGTCGGGTCAGAGATGCCGGAGTTCTGTTTCGGAGTCCAAGAGGGCTCCAGATCGGTCCAAGAGGGCCCCGAGAAGCTTTCTAGACGGTCCAAGAGAGGCCCGAGACGGCCAAAGATCGCCCGAAGACGCCCCAGATGGCCCCAAGACAGCCCAAGAGGCCTCCAAGACGCTCCAAGGGCCTTCCAAGAGGCCTCCGAAGAGGGCCCCAAGTTGCCAAAATCGTTGATTTTCATTGGTTTTTTCTATGTTTTTTTGCGTTCTGGCCTTTTCGCTTCCGGACGCTCCAAGAGGGCCCAAGAGGCCTTCAAGACTGCTCCAAGACGGCCCACGAGGCTCCCAAGACGGCCCCGGAGCGGCCCAAGAGCGCCCCCCAGACGGCCCAAGTGCTGCCCAAGGCGGACCAAGAGGCCCCAAGACGGGCCCAAGAGGGGCTCAAGAAGGGAACCGAGAACTGAAAAATCGAGCCCTCCGCCCCAGAAGGCGCCCAGGACCCCGAAAGAGGCCCCAAGAGACTCTCCAAGACACCCCCAAGACGCCCCAATAAGCTCCCGTGAGGCCCCAAGAGGACCAACAACGTCAGGCCCCAGGCCCCAAGAGGACCAACAAATACCGCCAAGAGCCCGCCGAAAGCCCCCCAAGAGACCGTCACGAGAGCTCAGGAGGCCCCCTGGAGGCCTCCCGAGTTCTCCAAGAGGCCTAAAAAGAGGCGCCAAGAGGCCCCAAACGGCCCCACCGAGGCTCCAAGAGGCCACGAACGCGCAAGCAAACGCCTGCGATGGCACAATACGGGCCGGCGGAATGAGCGAAGCGATTAAATAAATACACACAAATAACAGGATTCCCCATATTTTCCTATATTTTGTGGGTTTTTGTCGTTTCCCCCACTTCCCATACTTTCCGATATTTTCTGGGGAATCGACGATTCATTGTGTCTGTGTGTTTTTTCCCCTCCTGGGAAGCGGAAAGAGAAGGCCCACCCTGCAGGTCTTGTGGACAGCACATCGTTGAGCGGTGCTCTGGCCTCCCCTCAGCACAAGCTCCCCGGACCAAAAAATCAGCCCCTGCATGGCCTGTACTGGGGGGCGCTACGGTCAGAACAGAAGGGGAGATCAAGCCGTGTCGACGAGAACACCCCAGGGAACTCCCAACGACAAAAAACACCCAACCAAACCAAACACAAAACAGCAAGAAAAGCATGCAGACCTCGAACTCTCGAAGCTTGAAAGCTCGAGTCTGAAGCCCCCCCCCTCAGCAGCAGGGCGTCGAGGGCTCCCCGGACAAGCGGAGCGCGTCGGAGGACCGGGGCGTCTGCTCGCTTCCCCTGCCTGGCCGCTGCTGCCCGCGCTCTCGTGCGCCAGCGGGGTGCTCCAACGACGCCCGCAGGGGCGCCAGCGGGGCCCCCTCTCGCGGGGCCCTGGTCTGACGAACCAACAACACACACCCATACCCATAGGGGGATCGGAGAGGGCTATGGGTACGTGTTGTCGGATGGGGGTCTCCGCTCGAACGGGAGCGTTCCGCAGGGTCCGACAACCCGCACCCATACCCATAGCCAGTCCTCCTCCCAACGACCCCCTAAGTATGGGTATGGGTGCGTGTTGTTCGTTCGTCATGGTCGGTGGAAGGCCAGAGGAGGGGAGGAAGAATACCACGAAGAGAAGGACGAGGACGGTCGGAGAAGTGAGACATACGTAAACGTTCGACGGTCCGCGCGGATGCCTTTGATCCGCGCCGGACTCCCCCCCCCCCTCCCAGGTACGCGGAGCGCGTCAGGGGCGGTGCCGGAGGCGCCGCTGGGGGGGGGCTCAGAAGCCGATCCAAGAGACCCGCGCGGAGCGCCAAACAGTTTATGTTTATGTGCTGTTTCTCTTCTGCGAGCCGGACTCTTCGCGATCGCCATGCGTGCAGCCAGCGTGTCGGGCACAGCGGGGGGGCCCCTGCCCCCCATCGCACACGCCGCCTTGGACTCCTCTCCCCCGTCGGCAGGTTCGCGGGAACCTCTGCAAGCTCCCCGTGGGCCCCGAACCTTTCTGGCAGCAGCGCTCGGCACCAGAAGGTGACGCACCTGTCGATGCAGTCTGCTCGGGGCCCTCCGGAGCGCGTGAGGTCGTCTTCGCGGAGGCCCACCGGCCGCCTCTGGCCCATCCCATCAGATCCATCTTCCCTTGCCCTCGTCTCCTTTGCCCTCGTCCTCTCCTTCCTTCTCCCCACTGGGCCTCCCCTTGAAACCTGCATGGGCATCGAGCCCTGTCGGCCTTGTCTGGAGACGTACGCGCTATCCTGCCACCCCTGGACAAGACCAGCATGCATGAGCCCCTGAGGCGCACGATCAATCCGGACTGAATCAAATGAACGAGCATGTTTTTGCGCTTCAGGAATCCCAGTGCGCTGGATTGGACAAATTCAATGACCTTTGCCCAACTCATCCTCAAATTCTTCGCAATTGGCCAAGTTAAGCCCAGCGGCTGGAGAAGAAGACAACCAGAGACAGCAAGACCTGGGAACCCTTGGACAGCCGTCAAGAGACCGCAACAACCAGAGCCGGCAAGACCCTGCCGCAAAGAAATCGGAATAACCACGGCCCGCGGGACCGAGGACCCCAAGGGCCGCCGCCAAGAAATCGGAACAACCGGAGCCAGCTCTTCCTCCTCCTGCTGCTGCTGCTCCTCCTCCTCCTCTTCCTCCTCCTCCTTCTGCCAGGAGATGACAGCAACCAAGGGTACCTCGGGGCTGTCAAAAAACGACTCAGGATGACAAACCGGTCCAGGGGAATGGGTCGAGACCTTCAGGGAACGACGTAATGAAACAATCATGACGTCGGGGGTCTGAGTAATAACCACCCCGACAAGCGAGGCCGTCTAGTAAACACACCCAGAGAAGGAATCGAACAGGGCAGGGCTGATTAGGAAACACCCAAAGCCGTGCAATAAACGCCAAGTACAGGGTCCGGGCGGATTTTCTTCCCTTGACCATGGGCGGCCACCGGGGCATCACAGCATCCAGAGCAGCAGGACCCGGGACTCCGTGGGCCGTCATCCGAAGAAGTAACGGACCAGCCAGTGCCCCCGGGAGGGCGGGCGCCAGAACATCACGACCACCAGAGCCAGCGGGATCCAAGGAGGAGGAGGATGAGGCTCATGGGCGGCCGTCAGGAGGTCGCAAGAGGGAGGGGCACAGGGGCCCTGGACCCCATGAGCCGCCTCCGGAATGTCGTACAACCGGGGCTGGCTGGACCAGGGTCCCCATGGAGAGCAACCAGGGCACCGCAGCAACCAGGGTCAGCGGGACCCAGGATCCCTAGGGAAATCGCATCAACTATAGAGCTAGCGGGACACGAGTGGGACTAAGATGGGTGACGCCACGAGCTCGCAACCTGCGCCAGCGGGACTGGGGACCGCATGGGCTGCTTCCAGAACATCTCAACAACCAAGTCTGGAACCGGCCCAATACATCTGCTCGTGCCTCTGGACTAACGCTTACAATCGAAACATGACCACAAGAACGTGGGTCAAGAACATGAGCCGCTTCGCCGAATGCATCCGACTGCCCAAGGCCCCATGGAGATGCACCAAAGAATACCATTCCAGTGTAGAAGGCACACACGCCAAGAACATGAATGGGTACCCCTCCAAAGCTGGGGCAGTTTTCTTGCTAGCACTCGTGACGGCTGTATGCAGTGTGCTGCCTCTCGAAGTCAGCAGGCCTCAGGGTTAGGCCGGGAGAGGGCGGCCTTGCCCTCCCCCGCCGGGAGGCCGGAGTAGGGCGGCTTGCGGCAGTACACGACCTCGCCGAACTGCGACATGACCTCTCGCCGCAGGGGGGGGGCGGCGGTCCGACGTCGCGAAAAAACTACAACACCCTTCCACTCGGGAGCGGCCAAGAGGGGGGTGTCCAAGAGGGGGGGGTGCAAATCATGACCGGCGGCATTTGCGCGGCCCAGCGGTGGGGCCAGGGACGTAATGAAATAAGAAGAGGCGCCATGACATGTGGGGAAATATCATGGCCCACGCCATGATATCCACCCCCCCTAGTCATCACCCCCCTCTTTTCCGCCCCCGATCCACGTCGAGGAAGAATACAGCACCATTCAACGCCGGGAAAACGACTCCACCCGAGATCCACGTCGCGACAACAGCCTTGAGAAAGATCCGGCGTCGACCGGAGCCCTAGGCTGCATCCCTCCGTGGCCTTTTCCAGCCAGTTGGGCGTGCATTAATGGGGGGGCGATCGATGGGGGGGAGAGGGGTGCCCCTTTCGGACCCTTACGGGGCCCTGAAGGGCCCCTTTTCTGCAACCCTCTCTGCCCCACATGTATCGCCATTACGCGACGCCCAAGCCAGATCGATCTGTGATGTCAGGGGGCCCGAAACCTGGCGAAATCAACCGCTGTGCAAGAATTGCACGGCCCGGATCTCAACGTGTGGGTCGGGCCGCCTCTTGCCCCAACCAGGTGGGATCCTGCGAAAGCCTGCAGAGTTCGGTGTCGAACGCCGTCGCTGGAGCGCTCCAGCGACGCCAAACACAGAACAGGCCCAAGAGCCGAACCTCCAAGACGGCCCAAGCGGACCCGAGGGCCCCGCAACCAGCAGGAGGGGAGGAGGAGGAGGAGGAGGAGGAGGAGGAGGAGGAGGAGGAGCAGGAGGAGGAGGATGAGGAGGAGGAGGAAGCGAAGGACCTGACATCCAGGCGCTGCATCTCTTGCCACAGCGGGCGTTTTCGCAAGGCTTCGGGCCCCGGGACCATCACACATCGATCCGGATCTGAACAAGATGGGGCATAGGGTTCCGGTCGAGACCCAAACGTGCGACGTCCTGATAGATTTTTTCCAGGACGGGGCCCCTGGAAATCCCGAGCCATTCCCCGGGACAGGTTTCTCCCCCCGAGTCGCTTTGTTGACAGTCCCGAGGCCCAGCGAGGGCGCCGGAGGCCGAAGTTGGCCAAAAACCTCCCGTCCTGATGTTTTTTTTTCGACGCGAGCACGTCTGGGGATGTGGCTGGCGACCTCCCCTGGGAGAAGGCCCGAGGGGACGCGTCGATCCGAGCCCCGTCCGAAGAGCCTGGGCAGTCGGACTCGGAGGCCTCGGATTTCGAACGATGTTCGAGGAGCTCGGCTTTAGGCCCTAGGCCCGTCCCCAACAACAAAAACCTCCTCGACTCCTTACCCTTGCTAAAACAAACACTCCTCCCTGTCGCACCTTGAAGGTGGTTAGAAGGGCGGGCTGGGTGTTTCGCTCGAGATCTCCTTAACATCAAATGGGCCTGAAACTTGAAATAACTGGAAGCAACTTCACACATCGAGGGCAAGCCGCTTCCTAAGTGTGGCTCTCGCCATAGCGCCGCGCACATTCGCTACACACAATTGCAAGAGCATCGTGTATTGAGGGCGGGTCGTTTTCAAATTGTGGCTCTCGCCCTAGCGCCGCGTACATTCGTTTTAAACACTTGCACGAGTTTAACGGATTGAGGGCGGGGGGTTCAATAATCGGGCTCTCGCCTTAGCGCCATGCGTATTCGTTTAAACAAGATGCAGGAGTTTCACTGATTGAAGCCAATTCTGTTTAAACATGTGGCCCTCCCCTAGCACCGCGCACGTTCATTTCAACAAATCGAAAGTGTTTCATTGATTTTCATGGTTAACAGAATTGTGTCTTGGAGCGGTTCAGGAGTGTCAGGGCGCAACAGCTGCGTTAACTCGCAGTGTTGAAATCCCAGGAAGGGCTTCTGGCGATATTCAGGATCGTCAAGATGCAACACTCTGGTTGAATCGTGGAGTTGACTTCCTGAGAGTGGTGTTTTCACGCTTCTGGTTTTTCGCACGTTTGTCCCCCAACGGGGCACTTCCCTCAGTGGAACCTTGGCAGAGGCCTAAGTATGAAGAGGGGGCTTGAAGGGAGGGTATGTTCCATCATCCTTGCTCAATCTTGGGTTTACACTTGTCCTCGTCCTCCTCGCTCTCTCCCTCCCTCCCTCCCTCCTCTCCCTCCCTCCCTCCCTCCCCCTCCCTCCCTCACCTCCTTCCTCTCCTTCCCTCCCTTCCCCCTCCACTCGACAAAAAACACAACGACGACGACGCCGTCATCCCCTTCGCTGTGTCTCCTCAATCCTCCTCCTCCTCCTCCCCCTCCTCCCTCCTCTCCTCCTCCTCCTCTCCTCCTCCTCCTCCTCCCCTCCTCTCCTCCTCCTCCTCCCCTCCTCCTCCTCCTCGCCCCCTCCCCCCTGGACTCCGCCCCACGACCCCGCCGAGCCCCGCCCCCGCGAGCGGCGCCCAGAGGGGGGCGGGCCGCCTGCACGAACCCCACGCGGCTGTGCGCTTGCGTGATCCCCTGGCGCCCCCCCCCAGGTCGAAGGAGGCGCGCCCGCGGGGGCGAAGGAGAGGCTGCTCAAAAGGGAAAGGAATGGACGAGGAGGAGGACGAGGAGGAGGAGGAGGAGGAGGAGGAGGAGGAGGAGGAGGAGGAGGAGGAGGAGGAGGAGGGAGGAGGAGGAGGAGGAGGAGGAGAGGAGGAGGGAGGAGGAGGAGGAGGAGCAGGAGGGGGGGGGGGTCTGGCTCCGGACATCTGCTTGGTACCGCTGCTTGCAGCAGTGCGTCCTGCGGGGGAGGCTCCACCTGCTCGAAAGAGGCGCCCGAAACAGCCAAGATCTACTCCATTGCGGGGGCAGGAGGGCGGGTGCGAGGCCCGCGCCGATCGGCAAAACAAGAAATAAGAAAGCGACGACCATTCCCCATGGATTTGCTTGTTCCGCGCGTATGTTTTTCGCAAGACGACCCCCCCAAGATGCTCCTCGATGATCCCCGCCGAGAAAAAATGCACGCGTCCGAGCGGTGCCAAGGGAACGACATACACATCACAACTCGGAGGTCCGCGCGGATCTCTCGGATCGGCGCTGGGACCCCCCTGGCGGCGCCTCTGGCGCCGATCCTGGCGCGCTCCGAGGCGCCAGCGAGGGAGCACCAGCACCGACCCGAGGAGTCCGCGCGGACCTCCCAGTTTCGATGTTTCTGTCATCGTTTGCTCCCCGACTGCTGCGCTGCAGGACCAGTCAACAGTGAAGCGGCCATTCGCATCGAGCCGAAACATGCATCGGATCGGGCCGCATCGGCGCGGGGCCGGACTCGAATCGCAGCGGCGGCGCCAGGATGCACAACAACGCCCTGCAAACATCGGGCCGCACCGCACCGCCCGAGAGGCGGAATCGACTCGGATCGGGCAGCCCAGAGCCTGTGTCGAATCGGATCGATCGGCTCGAAGTGGACCCTGCGCTGGGGGCAGACGAAGCTGCGGTCCGCACGCCCTAGGAGGATAACCCAAGGCGGCTCCGAGCGGGGAAGCCCGAAGGGGCCTCGGAGGCCCTCCGCCCAGAAGCGGCCCCGGAGGCCGCCTCTGGGCCGCTGTGGGCCCCCCATGGGGCTGCCAAGGAGGCCCGGGGGCGGTGCAGAGGTGGAGGAGGCCCCCCCAGCCTCCTCCCTCCCCCTCCCTCGTCCCTCCCCTCGC